TAGATTATTGTCCCCACACTGAACGGTATCGATAAGATTCTCTACTATTATATAAAGAGATCAAAGCAGTCTAACAAAATCTTGTTGATAGAGAAAGAAAGATCAGATTTGCAGTATAAAATGTGATATCATCATTCTATTTCACAGGTTCCACTCATCAGCCAACTGTGAACCACTACCTGAAATTACAATGGTTATAAATAAATAATCACATTTCATACTTCAATGTTTGAAAGGTAATTGAGAAAACATTATAAGATGAAAGCATCCGGAATATAAATATGACAATTTTTAGTTTAAGTCACCATCAATTTATATGCTATCAAACTATGAAAAAAGGGGTGGGTGTGAGAGAAAACAGAAGACAGAAAAATCTAATAAACAATGTTAACGTCAACATGGAAACTCAAAAAGGTTATAGTTCATCAAACTGAAAACTTGCTCAGTGAGCTGAGCTCACTACTGCGCATGACTAATCAGTGTAATGAAGGTAATACGGTTACCAAGGGAGTGAGAGATTGACTACACTCTCTTTCTGTATGCACAATAAGTATCCTCTGAAACCTTTGATCGCAATCGCCTCAGCAAATCGTAGTAGATTCGTTGTCCTTTGTATGTTTATTATTTTGAAGGATTTGGAAATCTCGATAAAATGACCCGTATCCACATGGTGGGTGTCTGGTAATTGCACTTTGTAAATATCTGATTCCTTTTAGGCATGAGTTTCTTGGAATATGCTCTGAAAACAGCGGATAGAAGCCGTTCTTTCTGTCCTTCCAATGGACTTGCTGCCACAGGTGCACGTAAATTAATTAATGCAGTTGGAGGTAACATCAACAGAGTACTTATCCAGTTTCGATTGACTTATAGAGCATGTAGTGCTGTATAGTGTTCAATTTGATGAACTTTAACCTTCTTGAGTTGTCATGTTGACGTACAAGCTAACACTGTTTATTAGATTTTTCGGTTTTCTGTCTTCTCTCGCCCCCTCCCACCCCCATCTTTTTTCATAGTTTGATAGCATATAAATTGATGGTAACTTAAACTAAAATGATTGTAGTGCTTATATTCCGGATGCATTCATCTTATAATGTTTTCTCAATTACCTTTCAAACATTGAAGTATGTAATGTGATTATTTATTTATAACCATTGTAATTTCAGGTAGTGGTTCACAGTTAGCAGATGAAGGGAACCTGTGAAATAGAATGATGCTATCACATTTTATAGTACGAATCTGGTCTCTCTTTCTTTATCGAAATTTATCAAGGGAAACAAATGTATGAAAGTGTTGTCGCATACATAATCTCTGGAAACTTTACATATCATTGTTAATTTTACCCATTGTAAACTAGGACTCTTGATATTAGATGATTTGAGTCAATCAGCTACAGAAAGTCTTGTCTGATTGACCTAGGTTTTGTGCTAGTTGTCAATCACCAGTCAGTCAGTAAGGCGTATCTGCAAACTTGGAGGAACAACTGATGTCCCTTCTGAGGAGATTCGAATCCACGTCACCAAGGGAGCGCTGCAGTAGTCAGGAAGAGACGTTACCAGTGAGCTATTCGGGCTCGCAACTCACCTCCTGTTAGAATGTGTTGGATACTCTGATTTGCAAACGTGTCTGCGGTAAACGCAGGACTAAACACATGACACTAGTTCTTGTCCAATCAGAAATATCTAATACACTCCTACAGAAGATCAATCTCGAGCTCGGATAGCCCAGTGATAACATCTCTGACTGCAGACCTAGATGAAGCAGATTCAAATCTCAGAAGGAATGTGAGTCCCTTCATGGTTTCAGATACGCCTTGCTGACTGATGAGTGCCAACAAGCACGAAACCTAGGCGAGTCAGGCATGGCTTCCAGTGACCGATCGCCTCCAATCAGCTTCTATCAAGAATTCAAAGTGCACCGTGATGGTGATCAACCTAGAATGATGGCGAAATTGCAAACCTGACTGATAGAATTCTGTCTGTCTGTTTTTGACATAGAATTTTGCACATATGTGCGGCAATTCAAGTCGTCACACTCCCTCCTTGTAGCACACAAAGCAAGAGAAGAAAGTAGAAGAAATGCATAATAGAGACGATAAACAGAGGTGTGAGACAAAGGAATAGTAATAACGGAGAACAATATGGTTTCATTGGAAATCATAAGTCACAAGGAGTGGGTGCATCTGCACCAGCCAGCCATTGAGAACGATTTTGAGCCATGTCACCAATTGTTTCCAGCCTTCATTGGTTTTTACCGTCCCGAGGACCCCAACGAGCCAGGAAGTCTACACCTTCCTATGTGGCTTAGACTTACTGTTGTAGATTTCATTGACTCGTGAGGCCAAGATTTTGTTTGACCACCCCTAACTCTTTTCCAGCCTAACTCTACACTAGCTAACATTGCCCGTCGACTGATAGAATTCAGTTCACAGTAAACAAAGGAGTGGACACCTCACACCAGTTACTAGTGTCCAATTAAACAATGAATCTTTTCTGATGGCAGCTATATTTCATTTTATATTTTAGCATTTATTCTAGTTATAAAAATGAAGAATTTAACTCTGATTTGTCGACTAGTGTACTCAGTGTAACAGAATATTTGTCTAGGGAATTCCCCCTAAACGATGTTTCAAATTACGTTGTAATTGTCATTCCTTTCTCTCCTAGACAGTGTTGTTCTAACACTTACACGTCATATTTTGACATGACCCTTATTATTTGTCTTTACTCCTGTTTAATCTCTAATTTTAATGCTTTCCTTTGCGGTTGTGTGATACAGTAATAATGTGTTGGACAAAGTTCTTGATCCCATCTTGCTGAGAATATTTATCTTCATTCTCAGAGATACTTCTGAGTGAAAACGGTTATCCAGAAAAATTCATTGATAAGAATATGAATCGAAAATCAAGGCAACTCAAGATACCAACAGTTCCTAAAAAGGCTTTATTCTTACGAATTCAGTCCCCTGAGGATAATATCAATCAGTGAGATATGAGCACAACGTCGCCTTAGGAATGCGGTAAAAAGAGCATTCCCTGCTGCTGAATTATGCCGTGTCTTCAAAACCACTCCTATTTTGCGTTCGGGAGTAAAGGATAAACTGCCTAACTTCGCCTCTTCCATATGTATCCACCAATTTGACTACTCCTGTGGAGTAAGCCAGTTAGTTACATAGGCCGTACAATTAGGCGTGTTTCTCATCGGATTTCCGAACATCACCCCTGCGTTGTTGATTAAGTAAAGGACAAACAAAATCCATTCACATAGCGCTATTCTATCTCATCGTGTGGATACAGAACAGAAGATTGATGTCAACGAGGCGGCTTTCAAAGTCATTTACCGCATAACAACAAATCTCACTTTCGCCCTAAGAGTTTGTTTACAAAATATTGCTGAGACTGGCTGTTGGGATCAACATTAAGAAGTCTAATTTATGTGTCCCAAAGAAGCAAGTTCAGACATTATCCTTACCCACTTGGCCATCTATGTTTGAATGATCCTGAATTTCTGTGGAATTTTCCTAATTTTAGTTGATATTCTATTCACTACTATATCTTTATTATTATGATTATAATTTAAGCATTTTTAATGAACTGTAAATCCATTGATCTTACTTTACAAATTGATATTATTTAAAAAAAACACTAATATTGTTATTGACTACTATTCTAGAATATTCTATGTATATAAACATACATGTATAATTGCAGAGCTGGAAGAGGAATTTACCGAAAAGGATATTCTTTACTCAATGTTTTTAATATTTTCCTAACTGAATTTCGACTGACTAACTTTGTTCTACAGTACTTGTTTTTTTTTTCTTAGAAAGTTAGCTGGACTTCACAGCTTCCTAATGGTATTGTTGAGGTAATTTCGATCTATTTGACGTTATTATATTTGAACAGGTTTTCACCTAGATTAGTGGGCATATAACCTTCCTTTTTGGTGTCTACGTACCATTTTTTGACTGTGCACAACTCAAAGAAGTTTCATTCAGCTATATAAAGTAGGTCAAAGAGATTGATTTTCCTGATCTCGAACCGCAACGAGTCGATTTGAGTCGTTACACTCAATGTTATCAATGTCTCATGCCTTAATGAATTCACGACAATTCGTGTACACTGACAGTCAGTTAACCAAAATGTTCAATATTCAAACATTTTGTTTTATTGGTTACAGGATTTCATCATGAGCTGACATTTGCTAGAGAACCATTGGAAAACTACCTGAGAGTACTGGACAGCTGTTTCGTTGGCCTAGTTCAGGACTCTTCAGCAACACGCGCACACCCTACCGGGTTGGAACCCAGGACCTTCTGGTTACAAGGCCAACAAGCTCATAGACCATTAGCTCCCTGGGAACTGATCCAATGGCCAGCCAGCCCATGAATTCTAACTTCTGCCAATTCACGACAAAGCACGACCGCCAGCCAATGTCTTTGGCTAGTATTTGTCCTCACACCCTACCTGCTGCACCCTGCCGGTTACCACTTCCCACTAGAACCCCAGGCAACTACCTACCTGAATAGGGCCAGTCTCCAGTAAGCATCTGATTGATATTCAAGCATTGGTTTGTAGGGATTTGATTGATTGGTTACAGGATTTCATCATGAGTTGACAGTGGTTAGAGAACCACTGGAAATCCTGAGAGTACTGGACAGCTGTTTCGCCCTAGTTTCGATTTCTTCATCAGTACGCTTTTGTTTTATTGCTTGAGAAGTTTACGCCTTTGAAAGTCCATACCAAAAACTCCGAAATAAATGAGCTAATTTATTAAATCGTCTGATTCTACGCGCATTCAGTAATATATAAATAATCTGGTGTGATTAACCGAGTATTTGAACATTCCAGTGAAAGTTACCTTGCCTTAAAGCAGGCAGAAACCACAGTGTTTCAAAGAAAAATCGTAAAATCACCCACAAATAATGAGTACCCTATCTCTTGAACCTCTTGATCTTAATTATTAAGAGAATTAGTAAAAAGCATAAAAACAAAAGGTGCTTACATTTTTTAGGTAAATTCAAAATAATCTTTCTTTCTTTAGGAATTTTTCTTTCTTCATCCAAATTATAATTTGTACCGAATTTATTCATTGTAAAGGTACCGTGGGATGATGATGGTATTCGATTCTGTTTCAAGTATTTGGTAGATGACGACGAGTCTTTTGTTACGGAGGATGAAGCTGGATAATTTCTTTTGTCTATAGCAGAATTTGGATCACCACTCCCGTCAACAACTCCTTCACCACGACCACCGTTGTTGCCGCCGCCACCTTCAGCAGCAGTAATCTCTTCATCATCATCACAGGAATTGCTGTTTGAATTTATCTCAGAATTTGTTACCATGTCTTTCCAAATCATTTCATCTTTTGTATGAGCTTGAACAATTTCTTGTAGAAAATGTATATAACCTATTGCCAGACGAAGTGTATCAACTTTTGATAGACGTTTTTCGTAGGGTAGAGTTGGTATATGTGATCTTAAACCTGTTTTAATAAGGAAAAGGCATAAAATAAAAATTTACAAGATTTACATTGAATTTTTTAGATTCTAAAGTGAAGTTATATTTTTTGTCTTCAGTTATAGTCAAAATAATCTGATTTAAGTGTTTGTTCTTTACTAAGTTAAGCTTGGAGGATCTGGACTTCGCCCGCGATGATGATATATGACTGATTTCCCACAAACACTGGAAGATATGCAACAAGTTAGCAGAAGAAGCATCAAAGATAAGAAGAAATTCAGATGAAAATGGAGAAAACAGAGGTGATGAAGATTCCTTCCCAACAGCGACAACAACAACAGCCTTAGTATAAAAGTTTCATATACATTTTATATTACTACTAGTGGCGGTGTAAGTCCTCCAGTTTTGTTTTTTTACATCAGACGCAAATCATCTGCGAAATCCAGATATTGTAGAATCTTCTTATTGGTCCAACGTACTCCTGTCTTCTCGCTCTACACACTCCAGTCCATCACAATTAGGCATATCATCGGTGATCCTTTCTTCATTTCAAAGGCTACTCTGATCTTCTGTGTTGTAAATCAGTTGACAGGTGCCATTGTCATATTGATGCTGAATGACTTCCGTAGAGATTTAGACAATGAACTACCTAGTGTTCAAGTAGCTTCGAAATTAATTCATGGTCATCGTTGTCGAAGGCCTTTTCAAAGTGGATGAAGTTCACGTAAGGGTTTGACTACCATTCTATGCTTTTTTCTGAGATGATGATGTGTAGAGTTGTTGTTTGATCCATATATGATTTGCGTTTCCTGAATCCACCTTGTTCCGGAGGGCTTGATACTTCATCTAATGCACCTTCTATTCCCTCCAGGATGATCGAAAAACCAACAAACTGGATGAAGTAGCCGTCAGGGAAAAAAACAGAACTTCAAATATCAACTTCACTACCAAGGGAAAAAATTTGAAAGAGGTCAGCCAGGCAGAATTATCTTAACTACAGGCGGATAGCACAGATGAGAAGGTCAATACCAGAATCGATAAGGCAGGTTAGATCTTCATCACTCTGAGATCAGTTTGAAAGTCTTCAGCACACAGTCAGCATAAACCATAAAAATTCGGATTTTCAACACCAATGTTCAGTAAAGTTAGTCACCTCTTCTATATGAGTCAAAAACTAGCCCTCCGACTGCGTTATATCGAAAGCACTCGCAACAGCCTGTGTTGCAGATTTGTATTAACAGCTGCCACTTCCACTAGCTCCAAACTGAAGATCACCTATCGGCCAGAAAGAATTAGCAAAAAAAAAAACACTTTGGAGACGATTCAATGAACCAACCAAAATTGAGGTGAGTCGAACACATGTCACTGAGGAGACCATTGGTTGACATCACGTGCTAGACCATCGGTCGAATGGAACCCGAATAAGGAATGAAAAGTTGGATGTGATTCCGAGGGTGACATGGAGGAAATCTTGTGGTGGTGGTGGGGGGGGAGATAACAGACTATGAGCAATCGTGGGATCACCCTTGGCAGTGTGGAGAAGTCCTACTGAAGCCGTACTTTCCATCCAAAATCCAAGGGGACAATAATAAGAATAATAATGACATAGTAATGTAGTAGCCGCCTAAAATCCCCACTTTCTAAACTCAAACTTCTTATCTTAAATGAATTTACGATATTCAACATTAAAATAGAGTGACACATACACAATAATAAAGATGAATGACAAATGAAAAGAATAAAGTACAAATCCAACCCCCCGCGCTCCTTGTTGAAAATCTCAACAACAAAAAATAAATCAATAAATTCACAATGTTGATACAAGTAGGCATTAGTCTTTTTAAACCTACTCACAGAATTGAAAGGCATTCATAGGTATACTTTTTAATTAAAATTCCCTTTCATAACTTCATTAGAAAGTTCTGTGTTGTTTTTCCATCAATGGATACATAGAAAAGCATTAGATGTAGATTTAGTGGTGAATGTTTCAACTTTATTCACTGATGTGGCGGGGGGAGGGGGAGGGGCGGGGGCATGAAGGAAATAAATCTAAGAAGTTTGTCTATAAATCTTCTTTTTCTTTTGTATTGCTGCTATAACTGAATGTTCCATTTTTGAAGATTTTAATGCGAAGAAAACGCAACTGTCATTAAGTCTTTTTCTTCTTTTTCAACGTGAATGTAACACTTTTATTTTACTCTAGTATTTTTGAAGTGAAGCATTCTAACTTAAAATTCATCTTTTACCTATCTATGCAGATGTCATTAAGAATAAGCATAAATTACTTAAAATTAAAGGATATCTACGAAATTTTTATCAGGAGTTAAAAGAATGCGAATGATTAGATTTCTAATAGACAAAGAAAGATCAGATTTACTGTATAAAATGTGATATCATCGTTCTATTTCGGACAAGTTAAATTTTAAGCACCATTGACTATCAGTGGAGTGTGACCGCAACAAATGACCTTGAAATGCTCACTGAGCGAGTCAGTAAAACCTGGCAAGTGATGCTGTTATCATTAATAAAATATGTTCATTGAAGTGATATGATATTAAATGGGATATTTAGCTAGTTTCAGCTTAGATTTGGGAAAGATTAAGTTACAGTTTAAGACAAGGAAAAGTTCGAGTTAGGCTAACCTAATGAGTTCGAGTTAGATTATAGTTAGTTTAGGGATAATTTCACGTTACGGATAGGTTCAGGAAAGATTAGGGTTAGACGGCTTAAATAATTACATGCATAGAATGTGGTTAAATCACTCTGTTGATATAAGAATAAAACTTGTACATTGTGGTGGTAGAGTATAATTCCTTTGGGGGTAAAATTTATTCTGATAAAGTCTCACAGTGTTTGTTATACAATACTATTTACTGATGACGCTTCGAGCACAATTTATTGCTCACGAAATATTTCGGTATTACATTATAAGACTTTATCAAAATAAATTTTACCGACAATGGAATTCATACTCTGTTGATATTCCAACCTAAGAGTGAGAGCCAACGACTAGCACGCGTTCAAGATCATTGGAATATTCGCACTTCTGGGACGCTGTTGTTCAACTTCGCTTTATGTAATCCATACACGAAAATGCCTCCTTCATGTGATTGATGCGTTCGACGTCATTCGCTGATTAGTAGTTAGTGGTGCTTAAAGTTTAACTTTGCCTCTATTTCACAGGTTCTTTTGATCAGCTACCTGCGAACTACCTGGAATTGCAATGGTTATAAATAGTAACATTTCATACTTCAATGTTTGAAAGGTAATGGAGAAAACATTATAAGATGAATGCATCCGGAATATAAGCACTACAATCATTTTAGTTTAAGTCACCATCAATTTATATGCTATCAAACTATGAAAAAAGAAAAACGGGGGTGAGAGAAGACAGAAAACCGAAAAATCTAATGAACAGTGTTAGCTTGTACGTCAACATGACAACTCAAGAAGGTTAAAGTTCATCAAATTGAACACTATACAGTACTACATGCTCTATAAGTCAATCGAAACTGGATAAGTACTCTGTTGATGTCACCTCCAACTGCATTAATTAATTTACGTGCACCTGTGTCAGCAAGTCCATTGGAAGGACAGAAAGAACGGCTTCTATCCGCTGTTTTCAGAGCATATTCCAAGAAACTTAGGCTTAAAAGGAAGCAGATATTTACAGAGTGCAATTACCAGACACCCACGCTGTGGATACGGGTCATTTTATCGAGATTTCCAAATCCTTCAAAATAATAAACATACAAAGGACAACGAATCTACTACGATTTTCTGAGGCGATTGCAATCAAGCGTTTGAGAGCAAACTTATTGTGCATACAGAAAGAGAGTGTAGTCAATCTCTCACTCCCTTGGTAACCATATTACCTTCATAACACTGATTAGTCACACACATTAGTTAGCTCAGCTCACTAATCAAGTTTTCGTTTTGATGAACTTTAACCTTCTTGAGTCACAGTGTTGACGCACAAATTAACATTGTTTATTAGATTTTTCGGTTTTGTGTCTTCTCTCACCCCCGTTTTTCTTTTTTCATAGTTTGAAAGCATATAAATTGATGATGACTTCATCTAAAAATTGTAATATTTATAGTCTGGAAGTGTCCATCTTATAATGTTTTGTCTATTACCTTTCAAACATTGAAGTATGAAATTTTATTATTTATAGCCATTGTAAAATCAGTTAGTTTGTTGCTAGCTGTTGTGGTAAATAGAATGATGATATCACATTTTATACAGCGAATCTGGTGTTTCTCTCTTTATCGAAATATACCAGAGGAATGAAATGTAGGAGATTCGATTTCCTGTAGCCAATACACGGAGTGTGCCAGACAGATTAGATAGATATGTAGGGTTGATTAGTAGCTATGATTCTTCTTTATTTTATTTTATTCTTTTACGTCGCGAGTTGAACATTGGCAGCTTCAAGTTAGAGCTTTAAAGCGTCGGTAGTCTGGTGTTATTCTTTTTCTGTGGGATGTAGTTACTAGCCTCACTTCCAACCTCTCCTCTTTTCTGGCGTTAACAACCGGCTAGGTGAGATCTAGGTATTCATTGGCAGGGAACCGAACTCCAAATCATATGCGTGGGTGGCGTGTATTCTATTCCTGAACTACCAACTCATCAATGGCTAAAAAATTAGTTGAAATAGCCCAAAATGTTCGTTTATTGCCTATAATTTCAATCAGTATTATGTTTAGGTAAAACTACTTGTGCATCGGTGGCACAACAGTAGAATGCTCGCCACCTACGCTTCATGTGGTCCGAGGTTCGTTCCCCAACCAACAAGACATTCTGCCTCTACCTCGCTAAGCCAGTAATAAGACTGGTTAAGAGGAAAGGCTAAGTATGAGGTTAGCCAACTTCATCCTGTAAAAAATAAATATCAGTGCTACCGAAACTTCAAGCCTCTAGCTTGAAGCTCTATGTTCCAATGGGAATGTAAAGGAATTAAGAAAAAATAAAAAAATTTACACAAAATTATGATTCTCTTCTGAGGTCCGATAAATATCGCTATCGAATATGGGTGGGTCAATAAAAAACAAACTCTTCTTCTAGCCTACTTCTGAATGTTAACTGACCTTCAAATGCTTTATTAATCGATTGCATACGTCTACGTTCACGCATATTCGCTGCTTGTCTTTGAAAAGCATGTAAACTTTGACCTTTAAATCGTCCACCTTTTCGTATATGCATAAGCTTTATTCGATTCGATCGATACACTAGCTTTTTTGATCTTGATGAAGACAGGGATCGTGTTTTTTGCAAGGTACTACTACTATTATATGAAGGTGTGGAACAATTTGAATATGATTCATTGTCAATATCATAGGCGAAATCATCGGAATTTTCATTGGTTGACTCTTTGCCTAAGAAATTAGGATGGAATTCATCATCAGTATTGATTGGTGGTATAAACGAGAGATTATCATTATTATTACTGTTATTATTATTAATATGAGAATATGAAGAATCTCTAATATTAAAAAAAGACTCAATAGATGGTGTATGATTGTGAAATTGTTCAAAATTTTTCCAACTGTTGGATTTGTGTTCTAATGACCTAGACCATGTTTTGTAAGCAGTTGATGATGTAAGATCAGAAATCCCAGTTAGCTCCTCTGAATCCGATTGTCTTTCTTGTAAAGAAGGTGATTCTGTTTGATCAAAGCTGAAATTTTGTAAAGGTAATGTAGCCGCCATTAGTTCGTGAGCAGTAAATTGGATAGGTTGGGTATTTGTTGTTATCGCTGGATAACAATCATACGTTGACCATATTCTTTGTGGAAGATTTATTGATTGTTGAAAGTAATGATTAGCTGTTTGTTGTGTTGGTGTTTGTGTTTGATATGCCCAGTAATTTGTTGTCGTCGCCATAGCAGCAGTTGCAGTAGCAGTAGCAGTATTGGTATAATTTTGACGATATTCATCCATTACTGGAGTAAACCAATGCTGAAATGAACTACGAATAATTGAAGCTGGTAGATATTTTGTGTCGAGTGTCACTAAAATACAGAAAGTTAGAATAGACGGTGAAAGAATTAACAGAATCGGTAAAAATGCAAAAAAGAAACTATGTAAAATAAATTGCAAAACTATTCTCTTTCATACATATTTGTTTTTACGAGTTTGATCACCGATTGTAATTCGTTAGAGAACTATTGAACCATTGATGTCCCACCTACGACAATCGTTGGGGGGTCATGCTAAATCACGAATTGGTAAAAGTTAGAATTCCTGAGCCACTGAATCGGGTCCCAGTGGTGGCTGAATGATATGCGAGTTAGCCTGCCTTGTAACCGAAAAGTTCTGAGTTCGTACCCCAGTGGGTTGGTTGCGTACTGCTGATGATTCCCAAACTAGGATCAAACAGCTGTCGAGTACTCCGTGGTTTTTAATAGTTCTCTTCTAACTGATATCAATCCGTGATCAACTCGTAAAAACAAAACTAATCCTCCTTACAAACCAACTATAGTGTCATGCATCTGATCATTGTTTACTGCACACTAAATTCTGTCAGTCAGGTTTGCAATATGGCCATCATTCTAGGTGGCTTGCCATCAGAATTGTTGACATCAGATGATGGTTGAAGGCAGTCAAGGTTTCGTGCTAGTTGGAACTCATCAGTCAGTCAGTCAGCAAGGCGTATCTGCAATCTTGAAGAAGTTCAAGTCCGTTCTGAGATTCCAAACCGTATCATCCAGTGTTGCAATCAGTCAAAGACGTTACCACATTAGGAATTTAAGAGATCACTCAACCTGTACTTTTACAGTTAGTTGGTTAACTCTCGCTTCTTACCTATTATTTTTATTGCTCCCTCTCCCTCCAATATCTTTTCTGGACTACTTGATAATAACCATATCATATTGCGAAGGTTATCAGTGGGGTAAGTGTTGTTCCACTTAGTCAGCTCATTACTATTCTAGTCGATAGACACCTGAACAACTCATGTGAGAAATGATCTAAATCCAATGTTGTCTGAATATCAACTCCCTCTTTATTCACAACTCCCCCCCCCTCCAAGGGCGCTATGACCAAAATTCAATGACGGGGGTGGGGGCCCAAACATACTGGAATGAATGAATATGCAACTGAAGGGTCACAAGTTAGACGAAATAAAAGGGGGGAAATTCGATTTCGACACACTGCAAAACAATGAATATCGAAATGAAGCTAACCAATGGAAGAAAGTTGAAAGAGGCAACTTCTTTCACCTATCCGGTTAGCCAGTATCCTTTCAGCTACAGGCAGACAGCACGGATCAGGATGTTAAAATCAGAATCGGAAAGAAAAGGTCAACTTTCATCACTCTGAAATCACGTTGTTAATCTACTGCACTTCACAGAATATACAACAAAATTCGAATATTCAATACAAGTGTCAGGTTAGTCACTTCTTCTATATGAATCAGAGACTTGGTAAACGCGCCAGCCAGCTGGATGTACCTGCATTTCTCAGTGAGTGATGCTGTTCCCACCACCGTGGCTTGAACCCAGTGCCCATAGTTTCAAACACCAGCCAAATCGTTATCCACTAAACCACTTGGGCCACGAGAACTGGCCACCTCTTGTGCAACGAGTCATATTAATTATTGAATTGAATTTTTGATTTTCCCGTCTATTGACTGGACCGTAGCGCTTGGTCTCAGGTTGACATGTCAGCTTCTTGTACAGAAGCTTCGACGATGTCTGGTCATTTAGTTAGTATTTAACTGGTACATCCAGTGATGAGTCCCAAGTAGGACGAAATTCGCATCCTGGATTCCACTGCTAGTCACCATCCACCAATTAAATACTAACTAAATTCCCAGACATCGCCGAAACATCTGCACAAGAAGCCAACTTGTCAACCTGAGACCGAGTACTTCGGTCCAATCAATCGACAGGAAAATCTCAAATTCAATTAGACTCTCAAGACTTTTATCAACAGCTGCCAGCTTTGCTTGCTGTATACTGAAGATTAGATGACTGGTCACAAAGAATTAGCAAGGAACCAAGAGTCTACTGCTCAAAAGATGTTTAGAATAAAATTCAGATGGATAGGGTACCCAGTGAAGCGATTGTCGAATGACATTGCACTCCAATTTGTCGTCCAAGTGGAATCCGAATGAGAAATTACGAGCTTAGCGTCCAAGGGTGATTTCGAGGAGATGAAATTTTTATGGGCAATGGTGGCACCAGTGAAACAGGACTGCAGAGAAGTGGGTGAAACGAAGATGGGCTGTTGAAGCCCTTTGTCCCATGCGGAACCCAAGGGAATAACAATAATAATAATAATAATCTAGCGAAAGTATTGATCAAACAATACTTCACGAATTGACTGATAACCTCACTTCAGTCAAATAAACGACAGGATATATATATATATATATATATATATGATTAGACAGGAAAAAAAAAACAACACGAAACGAAATTCAACCCATTTTTTTTATCGAGTTTAGACTAGGTCAGGCAGATGTCATACAACCCTCATAAATGTACGTGCGCATCACAGTGAATTGCCTAATTTTCACCTATCTATCCTCATCTTCTATCATAAGAGAATTCTGTTGAATAACCTGTACAGTACAAGAAAGAAATTATTATTATTATTGCTAAAATCATACTTCAATGATTATCTTTTGCTTCTTTTCAAATTATGCTTACTTAATCCTTTTTTATCAATGGAAAGCGTATCAATGCAACGATAATAATGAGAAATATTGAATAACCTGAAGGCGTAAGGTGACAACAACCAGCATTTTTTCAAAATAACAACACACACAAAAAAAGAAGAGAATATCAGAATCCAGTCTTATGCATAACGATGTTTTCAAAATTCCCTACCAGACTCACTCCTTTGTCTTATTTCATCTCATCTCTTTCTCTAAAAAGTATTCTAGATGTCACATCATTATTATTATCATTATTATCATTACTAATTTTTAATGAGATAATTTTTCATCTCAAAATTTTATGCTTCTCAAAAAGTTTTCATCTTATCGTGTGTCTGTATGCGTGGGTGGGTGTGGGTGTAGGTATGTATGTGTGTGGGTATGTGTGGGTGGGTGGTGGGTGACGGTGTCTGTTGAAATTGATGATAAGCGTTGAATACTACCCATTCTGCTTGCTTGTAAGATGGGAGAAATGTCAGCTGGATGGGCATTTAAGAATATATTCCATTCCACTCCCTTAGAAATTTATACACCATTTACATCAATCTTTCTCATCATCCATCACATACACATCGATATAATATATAATGTAGAGACGTACTCACACACCCCTCCCTCACACACACTAAAATTCATGAATACCCTTCTCATTCTCCGTCTGTAGACAAACGGATGAACAACCAACTAACTAAGCAAACATGCTTAACCGTTTATCACGTTAACCAAGTTGATTCTGGTGGGATATATATGTATAAGCACAAGTTATCTCTGTCCTATCTACCATCTAGAACCTACCTACCTTTGAAGGCAGAGATAGGCAGAGATATGTAAATACGAAGCATCTAATACACATGGATAAAACTCGCGTCGATGTGCGTGTGTGAGTGTGTGAGTGGGTAAGTGAGTGAATGAGTCGGTTGGCATCACTGTCTATTATAGTTTTCTTTAAAATAACAGAGAAACACCTGTGTTAAATTCTCATAATATTCTCAAAAATAAAAAACCATGAATAAATATTCAGTAATGGAACTGTTTTCAAAAGTTTTCTGTAAAGATAAAAATGAAACATCAAAAAATAAATAAATTTTTTGAAGTGTGTGGTTATTAGGCGAAACAATTTAAACTGTGATAATGATAGCAACTAACACAGGCATCCTAAACGTTGGTCGTCCGTTTTTATAGCTATAAGTGTATTTTATTGATTAGAATTTATGCAAGATAGAAGGATGTTTATTTCATTGAGTCAGATGGTTTAATGTTTGCTTGTGTGCTTGTTGGTTTTTTTGGTTCAGTAATTATCAATAGTTGGTTTGTTAGGACTAAATTTGTATTCAAGTGTTGGTTTGTAGGGATTTGATTGGTTTCAGGATTTCATCATGAGCTGACATCAGTTAGAGAACCATTGGAAAACCCGGACAGCTGTTTCGTCCTAGTTTGGGACTCTTCAGCAGCATGCACCCAGCCCACTGGATTTCGAACCCAGGACCTTCCGATTACAAGGCGAGCTCATACACCATTAAGCCACTGGGACCCGATCCAATGGCCAGGCCATGAATTCTAACTTCTGCCAATTCACGACATAGCGCAACCGCTAGCCAATGTCTTCGGCGAGTATTTGTCCTCATACTCGACCTGCTGCACCCTACTGGTCACGACTTCCCACTGGAACCCAGATAACTACCTACCTGAATAGAGCCAGTCGCCAGTGAGCATCTCATTAGTATTCAGGTGTTGGTTTGTAGGGATTTGATTGGTTTCAGGATTTCATCATGAGCTGATATTAGTTAGAGAACCATTGGAAAACCTTCATGGAGTACTGGACAGCTGTTTCGTCCTAGTTTGGGACGAATTTGATCACGGATAGATTGACATCAGTTAGAGAACCATTGAAAACTACAAGTACTGAACAGCTGTTTCCCTCCGTCCTACTTTAGGAATCATCAGCAGTATGCACCTACCCCATTGCCAGGGTTCGAACCCAGGACCTTCCTGTTACAAGGCGACCTCGAACCCTCGCACAAACAATTAACACACAGGAATGTCTTCTCAGTGAGATGTACTCATCACTTGTAATATGACTGTTTCATCAATAGCCTATTGTTAAATCTAGTCACTTTTATTGTCATCGTACTGCATACTCCACGTTAGTTTCAAGACACATTCATACAGAGAGGTAGAGAGAGAAGGTTACTCAAAGAGATTACAACAACAAAAGAACAAAGGTCAACATGTTTGTAAAACAAAGTTACACCCTATGGTTTCTCTCTTTTTATTTATCATCAGTATCATTGGTGATTATCTGGTTTTGTTGTAAATTTTTATTTGGGTTTTGTTTTGTTATTTTGACACTCTTATGTGTGTTTGTGTCAACCAGTAAAGGTGTCGATCTCTGTGACTTCTATTCATTATTGTCCATTTTTAAGTCTAATCTGTGTGTGTCTAAACACTTTTAGATCAGTAATGATCACAAAAGCGATTAGTGTGTGTAAATGAGCACAGCGGGTTACCTGAGAATTAAGAATTATATGCCATTAAGTAACAATTATTTGTATTTATAAAGAACAATGACTTTATTGACAACATTTTTCTCACCTTAACCATCAATTAGTACAAACAGACAGTTATTTCAGTTCATCATTAAATATAGTTTTCACTAATTGGTTTGTCAAGTCTAGATTTGTTTTTACGAGTTTGATGACGGATTGATATCAATTAGAGGACCATTGAAAACCACCAGCTGGGAGTACTGGACAGCTATTTCCTCCATCCTACTTTGCGAATCATCGGAAGTACGCACCCACTCCACAGCCAGGGTTCGAACCAAGTACCTTCTGGTTACAAGACAAGCTAACTCGCATATCATTCAGCCACCAGTGGGACCCGACTCCTCAATGGCCAGCCAGCCAGCCAGCCCATGAATTCTAATTTCTAACAATTCGTGATGAGTTTAGGGCGACTGACACCAGCCTTTGTCATCGGTGGGATATCCATCCTCACACTTCACTTATTGGAGGACCTCACTGGTCACGACTTCCCACTAGAGCTTCAGGAAACTCCGTCCTGTCACAAGTCACTAGCGAGCATCAAATTAATTTTCTATGATTTAGTTTGTAAGGATTAGATTTCACATTTTTACGAGTAATTATATTATTAAAGTTCGATTGGCATTTATTTGTTCGACGGATTTTTGTTCGTGCATAATTTTATCAGCAGTATGCAGGCATGTTAATCCTCTTTGATGTTAAAAGCTCTGTGTTACTGATGAGAAGGATCTATGCTTTGCAGAATCACTGTTTTTCTGTGTCAACTAAGTGAACTATCAATTTTTATGAAGTATTTGAATGTGATATCAATTCATGGCCAAACTTGAAAAACTATCAAATCCCTATAAACTAACTCTTGAAAATTAATCTGATTCTCCCCAGTGACTGGGTCTATGCAGGACGAAGTTGACTGGAGGCACCTCTAGTGAGAAGCTGTGATCAGTGGGGTCTACCTGATAGGTAATGAGGACATTGGCTGGAAGTATTATTATTATTATTATTTCCCTTAATTCCTAGAGGAATATAAGGCTTCAGCCACGCGTCTCCATTGCGTTTGGTTCTCTGCTAGAGTTTTCACCTGGCTCCAAGTCTGTGTGCATGCTTTCATCTCTTCTTCACATGACCCACTCCAAGTCACCCTTGCACTGACGACCAACTCGCCGCTTCCCTTTCGGGTTCCACTCGATCGATGGCTTGTCTAGTGATGTCACTTGATGGTTTCCTCAGTGTGTGGCCAATCCACCTCCATTTCCTCCTGCTTATTTGTTTCACAATCGGTTCCTGGTTGGTTCGCTCCCAGAAATCCCTGTTGCTGATCTTTTCTGGCCGGCCATCTCATCTTGAGTAGCATTGAGCGAAGACAACTCTTAATGAAGGGCTGAAGTTTGTTTGAGATGCTCTTTATGACTCGCCAAGTCTCTGATCCGTATGGAGAGTGGCACTGACTTCACATTGGAGTTGAAAATCCGGATCTTATTTTTGACGGTGAGTGATGTTGACCTCCACACAGACTTAAGAGTAATGAAAGCCTGTCTTGCTTTTCCGATTCTGGCTTTGATATCCTCGTCAGTTCCGTCGGCCTATAGTTGAAACGATGCTTCCCAGGTAGGTAGGTAAAGGAGATTGTTTCTTTCAGGTTCCTCCAATTTATGCTTATTTTTGTCAGTGTTGTTGTTGTTGGTGGTGTTGGCCAGGAATCTTCATCACCTCTTTTTCCTCTATATTCACCTGAGGTTCTATCTTTGATGCTTCTTCTTCGGCTGGAAGTGGTCAAGCTAAAAACACGAATGATTAGAAGTTAGAATTCATGGGCTAGCCATTGAGGAGCTGTGTCCTAGTGGATGACTCTAGTCTAGGAACTTTCCTTGTAACCAAAGGTTCCTTGGTTCGAAAACTGACGGTTGGTGCTTACTTTCGATGGGTTCCAAACTAGAGCGGACAAAACTGTTGTTTAGTACCCCCTAATGGTTCTCAGTGGTTCTCTAACTGATTCAATCAATGATCAAACTTGAAACAAATCGAATCCGTACAAAAGAAAAACCCTTGAAAATTTGACTATGAGTCAGTCTCCACTGAAGAGAATATTTTGTCATAGATTTATCAAGGTCTCTCTTGGTTACTCCTTAGAAGTACCTAGAAGTCCTTGATATGAAAACTCTGTGAAGAAAGATTTTCCCCGTTTTTTAATTAGAAAGAGACCATCAATGAATGGAATTCAAACCATTTGCATATAGATACTGATATATGTACAGGCGAAATTTACCTAATGTAAATAAATTATCTGTCTTCCTGGCAGATTTCGTCACGAAATGATATCAATTAGAGAACAACTGAAAATTGGGGGGCACTGGACATCTGTTTATTTCTAGTTTGGAACTGTTCGATACTGCGTATCCACGACCTCACTAGGATTCTAATCCGGTACTATTAGCATACGAGATGATGTCATCGTGGAGGGGGGCGTTTGAGATAGGAGCAGAGGCTTTGGCAGATCTGGAGAACTGCACTTGCTTCAGGACCACCCTGGATGTTAGAGAATTTTGTCCAGCGTCGAAGAACTCAACAACCTCGTCTCCAAAAGTGATTAGGTATCACCACTTTCATATCTCGTAATAACACTGAGATTAAAATAAGGACGCAGCATTGAACATAGACGCTCTGATCTCGAATACTATTTGACTACGCCAACAACGTATTATACAACAGCTACCTATCCCCCTCCAGACAGTTCTACTTAAATGAGAATACACAACGGCCTGAGCCGAAAAGAATATTTCAGTATCAGCCACAGTATATTTTCACTCACTATTGTTTAATTCGAAAAACCACCGAGAATATGTCAATTAGCCTGTAATCATAATCAGTAAAATAGTTAGTGGGTATCAGTGTATGCAGGCCAATTCTGATTAGTTTATTTCAAGGCAGGTATTGATCACCATATGATCAATAAATGATAGTCTATTGTTTATATATCTACATATCAAATGAGTGCATTGACTGTTCAACCTCGAGATTGGAGTTTAATGGCCC